AAAGGCAGAGGCTTTGGGAGGAGGCTGGTGCTGATAAGGGGGTGCGGGACCCCCCTTCCGAGGCTCGGGGACCGGACTGCGGGGATCAGGCTCGACACTAGCGTGGAGGGCCGGGCCCAGGCACACCGAGGGGGTCCCCAAGTCTTGCAACCCCTGCTCGGGGGGACACTTCGCTTCTTTTTTATTTTATTTTCCTTTCTACCATTTTCTGTTTAAAGAACAACAAAAAAAATAATAATAAAGGATAGAAAATCTGATTGCCGTTCCCCCAAACTAGGCAGCTTTCCTATTTGACAAGGGTTTTCCCCCCTTTTTCTTTCCTGTAATTTTACTTCCCTTTTTGTTCTTTCTGTGTTTTTTTTTTCTTTCCTTTTCTTTTCTGTTTTTCTGTTCTTTGTGGCTAACTTCCCAGAGCTAGTTCTGTGTGGGTGGGTGGGTGAGAGAGAGAGAGAGAGAGAGAGAGAGAGATCACCATCGGCCCTGCAAGACCCAGATGGGCCAAATGGCAGCAACATTGACGAAGAAACTAGTTCGATCTATTGAGCACAGGTCCCTCCGGCCATTTCGTTCCCTCCCGCACCGTGGCTTTCCCTGGGCATCTCCCAGGCTCCGAACCGAAGGCCACGGAGGGGGTGGCCTCTCCTGTAGGTGCCCCTCTCTCGGCCTGCAGCTGCTGGGGCCCCTTTAAAACCATTTTGGAAACAATCCTAGAGACAGTAACAGTCTGAGCCTCAGGGAACAGCATGGACCCCCCCCCCAATTTCCTTGTGAATTTCCTGGTGGCGGGAGCCAGGCTAGAGGTGCGGCTTGAGGCTGGGCTCTCTGTTAGGGGTCCCCCTGGCCCCCCAGGCACTTGGCCTGGACCCCATGGAGCTGGGAAGCTTTGCTGAGCCTCCCCAAGGGCGGAGGGTGACCCATTGGTGCCTGCTTCCCGCCCCCCCCCCCAAATTCCCTGCCGCCTCACTTCCCCAAGGTTTGCCAGGAAAAATGCAAGCATTTTCGCCGTGTTTAAGAGTCTGTGGAAGGCAGGGGTCAGGCCCCTAGAAATGCTAACGGGGCTGGAGAATTACAGGCATGATCTGAAAGTCTCTTCCAATCCCTTTCCTGGAGCATTTACTTGCGGGCAGTGATGAGAAGTGACGGCTGGGAATCAGCTTTTAAGAGTAATGAAGTCAGGTGAGGCTTTAACCTGTCCCTGGCTATCCGTCAGCTTCGAAAAAGACAAAGGGAGAATACCGTTTGGGTGCAGGGGAGCCTGCGTTCGCTGGCTGGGAGGAGGGTCCTCAAATCCTCGCGTCTGAGCAGGGAGGGGGCAGGCCCCGGGTTTGGAGTGTGGCCCTCGCCTGGGTGCCCTGACAGCCTGGCACCTGCATTGCCTGTGGGTGGCAGTTTGGGTGGGGCAGGTCCCCATCTACACCAGTGGTTCCCACCTTCCGTGGCCACGCCCCAGCTCAGCATCTGTAACATCCTGATGCCCGCCCCCCCCCCACCTATAATTCTTATTATTCAAAAAGTGAGCTCCTCGTTATGTGGAGGAAGCCTCAAAGGCCATGAACTTGGTCTCAACAAGCTTCCAAAGAACATGGCTTCCATGAGAGAGAAAAATAAAAGAACGGAAGGACAGTGGAAGGACGGAGGAAGAAATCACTAAGAACTTGTTTTAAAATAATAATAATAATAGGAAGTGAGATAAAAATAGCAAATAAAGTTCCAAAACATAGACTACAGAACTGAAATGCATAAATAGGTCACCATATATATTTATAGACTGTACATGAGCCTAGAACAGCCGTGGGCAAACTATGGCCCACGGGCCGGATCCGGCCCCTTTGAAATGAATAAAACTAAAAAAAAAAAAAAAAAAGACCGTACCCTTTTATGTAATGATGTTTACTTTGAATTTATATCAGTTCACACAAACACTCCATCCATGCTTTTGTTCCGGCCCTCCGGTCCAGTTTAAGAACCCATTGTGGCCCTCGAGTCAAAAAGTTTGCCCACCCCTGGCCTAGAACCAGAAGAAATGCAGAATGAAAAATAAGTCAGTTAATGACTCATTCTCGAATTGCCCCCCCCTTAAACATCAAATGGCCCTCCTGAGGGGTGTGTGCCCCAAGCGGGAGCCACCGATGTAGACTTAGCTGTGAACTTGGGCCACCGCCCTCTGTCTGTGCCTGACCAGGTGCCCCCAGTGCTCTGCACAGCTGGGACTCGGGGCTGACACCCAGGCTATAATCTAGATGGGTCCCCAGCCCGGCTCCCAGCGAGGGGGGGCCAGGCCTGCGGGCCTGGCGGGGGGGCGCCCTCATCTCACTCTTACTAACCTTTTGGAAATGGTGCGGCAACAGCAGGGAGGACGGTGAGGAAGATGAGCGGGGAAATGTCATTTCCCAGGGGCCCTGGGACATCAGGTGGCCCTGGTCTGTGAGGGAGCCCAGGGCAGCCCCAGAGGTGTGACAGCGTTTCCGTGGGCGCCTGCCCCGCTCACGGAGCTCAGATATGGCTCTTGAGGAGTCAACTGCTTCAAAATACACTTGATGGCCCCTGGAGTGGCTCAGGGGTTGAGCCTCGACCTAGGAACCAGGAGGTCACGGTTTGATCCCCCATCAGGGCGCATGCGGGGTTGTGGGGCGTGCAGGAGGCAGCTGATCAGTGATTCTCTCCCATCACTGATGTTTCTCTCTCCCTCCCCCTCTCCCTTCCTCTCTGAAATCAATACAAATATTTTTAAAGGTTTTAAAAAATAAAATTTACACATTTTCTTGGAGGTCTCAGCTCCCCCACAATTGCAGTTAGGTCAGAGCCACACATGGGGGGGCGGGGGGGCAGATAGTGTCTTCCCAGCCCCTGCAGCCCCACCTGGCATCTCACAGGGTCCCCGAGGGGCCAGGGACCCAGGATCCCCAGCAACAGGTCCTGCTGGCGTCCTCGCCGGCCCCCTGCACCCCTTCCCCTCCCATCCTCATTTCTGGGGTCCCCAGGAAAGGCGGGGCGCCTCCAGCCTCCTCTCCTTGCCCGTAGAGAGCAGCCCGTGCGAGGTGGGGAGACCGGGCTGGTTTGGGGGCAGGTGCCCAGCTGGGCGGCTCTAGGGATGGTCTGGTCTGAGGCCCGAGTTCTCTCAGCTTGAAATCCCCAGAATCTGGCTGGACGCTGGGTTCGCAGGGAAAGTGTCTGTGTGTGTGTTGGGGTGGGGGTGGGGGGGCGAAGTGAAGGATGATCGTAGGGACTTGGGGACACTGAGC